CTCCTCTCCTGTGTCACTGCCATGCCCAGTGCTGTCACAGCAGCACCACGTACGTGTCCCCTTGCTTTCTCTTGTTCCCCATGTAGGGAGGAGAGTTATTACATATTTCATCACTCTTTATCCAGATGAAAGCCCCTCAGAAAAAGGCAAATTCTTCCTCCACTGTCTTTTAAACTATTCTGATTTATACAGGTTAGCCAGAAGTATAGATGAGATAATGTAGCCCTTTGTCCTTTAGGGAATTTGGGTCCATTAAGAAGCCTTAGTGTGTTGTTGTTTATTTTTAAACTGTAGGTTCTAGCAATAACATAACTTAAAAAAAAAGTTTTTATTCAAGGGGATGGGAACTGAAATACATCATGCTGCTAATCTTCAAGTGCAAATGTAAACATCCCGAGTAACTCTAATTTAGTGTTCTTTGTCACTTGCTTTTTTTCCTTCCCTTGTCCTTTGAACAAAATGGTACTTTTTGAAAACCTATTAGAGAGATCAAGATGACATCTTCCCATGACACAAACAAAATCAGAATTACATATCCAGGCAGAGGATCAATGGAAAAGTACAAGCAGAGCTGCTCAAAGTAGCCCAGCTGGCCTGGGATTTGTCAGCATGATGGGCCAAAGAGGCTTGAGCATCTTCAAAAAAGGAAAATGGCCCTAACCCCAAGGGACACCTCTGGGTGCTGCCCTGCCTTCATCATGATGTGGAGATTACACTTCAAACCAGCATGGTGGGGAGTAGGTCAGCCTTCGCTGTCTTCCCAAGGGCATCCAGAGCCACCCCACTTCAGAGTGATATATCTTAGTCCAGAAACATAGATGAGAGGAAAAAATAACTCTCAGGTTTAACTGAACTTTTCAAAATGAACATTTGGCTAGCAATTTGTACTGGATTGTTCTTATTCCCAAGTGGTTACCCAGTCCCCACTCTGGGGAGAGAGCACCTGTGAAGGTATCCTTTCTCGCTCTTCCACACGAACAAGTAATTAACTGTCTTTGCTTTTCCTGGTTTGACTTGATTTTTTTTTTTTAAACTGCATTTGGTCTCACATGTACAAATATGTAACAGCCAATTATAGGATTACAGCATTTATTAGTCAGGAAAGTAGTTACAGTACCTTCATGCCTGTAGCAAAAAATTGTGCCTCCCCCTTCCCCTCCTCTCAGTTCATAAGACCCTTTACATATTTTTTATTTTTGGCTCTATCTCAGGCAAATCTTAGAGATTCACTTCTGATTTCACTTCATAATCTTAGGTGCAGTTTTTTTACGTGAGGTTTTTTGTACTCTGCTCGACCCAGACAAGACACTGATTTTGTTGTCAAATACACTGATGGGAAAGAAGCAGAATTTTTCATCACAAATTGTTTGAAAAATTTGGGTTTTTTGTCTGTGATACAGGAACTGACCACATTGACTGCCTTAATCCCACGGTGAGCCATAGAGAACAACCTATATCAGGGTGCCATTGTGGTGGGAAGGCTTTCTCCAGGTGCATTTGGCTTAGGGGGCAATGGTTGTGGCTCTGTCTCAGTAGCAGGCAGATGAGCCATGGGGAACTCTGTTCTGGCTGTGAACATAAGGATCTCCTGTCACCATCTTTGAGTCTCAGAAATTGGACCTGAGCTTTGGAAATTCTGCCAGCTTTGCGCAGTCTAGAAGAACCAGATGAATACACTGTTGCACAATAAATGAATGATTTCCCCCTCCGCTTCTGTTGTGAGAAGTTTCTGACTTTTTTTTCTTCAACTACTTGTTCAGAATTGGCTGGCCTACGTTTCTGATCTTTGACCAAAAGTTGCTTGAAAATATTTCTGTTTGAAGCCGTCAGATCCATTTCTTCTGCTCGAGGGTAGGATTGTTAAGGTGCCCTTTAGCCACAGGTTGGGCCAGCAGAAAAACAGATCTTGTACACACTTCCTGGCTCTGCTTCTGGCTGCAGGAACCAGGCTCAGTCTTACCACAGTTTTGGAGCCACCAGAAGGGTCAATAGCCAAAGCAAAATGCTCAAAATCATATTTCAGCCTTGAAACATGCTTCCTTCTTGACATGTGAATACTCTGAGAGCTGTTAAGAGTGGTGTGGGGGAGGTCTTTGGTTGTCTTTTAGTTTCTCAGAGCAGGAAAATTGCCCAAGAATCAGCTTTCTATTAACGTTCTGTACGAGTTGCTCAAAATGGCTGCTTCCAGTCATTTCCTTGTTCGTTAGACTTGTCTGGAGTTGAAAACAAAACCAAGCATAAGTTCTGGGAACCAATTCAGAGCAAAATCTCTCTCCTTTTCAGAAACAGATAAATATTCATGGCCATGCCTCATTTTTTCCTTTTCTCCACATCAGTGGCATACTTCAATATTCAAAAAAATTGGTGTCCGCACCCAAATTATACAGTGGTGGTTAGTCACTTTGTGGAGTTGTATTTATCAGAAATAATACTGAGACCATCATTCTCCTGTTGTGCTTCACAAGGATTACTAAACAAATTATTACAATATCTCAGTCCTGGTCCCAAAGCCCATTTTCCCTATATCTTCTTCCAGCTGTAGAATTATTTCGTTGTTATCTCCATTTGAAAGACCCAGAAAGTACATGGATGAAAAGAAAAAAAGAGGAAATTTCTAAGGTAGTAATGTATCCATCAGGCCCTTATAAAAATACAACAAATCTTAACGTTTATAACTGCACCTGGTCCGCTGAGGGACATGGTAACCTTACCTCCCATAATTTTGGAAAACAACCTTTTGGGACCAAATGTTTGCGCTACCGCTTGCTGGAAGAGCTGCCATTTGCAGCAAGGCGACAGCGTCCAGGGAGAGCAAGGCATCACAGCTCAAACCAGGGGAAATTAGCCAAATTTGTCCATCGAATGGGCTGGATTATTCCTGCCTTTGCAACAGGTGATTGTTCCCCTGCACATAAACAGAACAACAGCTGCAGGCAGTTGTTATTTCCTCATTAATTGCATTTTAGGGCTTACTGAGGTTTTCTGTGCTGCGGAACGTTCCCAGTCCCTTGAAATGCTAATCGAAACATTTGAATATGTTGTTATCCTGACAGCACACTTGAGGAGGTTTTAAAACTGACCAGCTGTCTAACTACTCCCTGTAAATCACTCGCCTTGACCTAGCAGTACATTTTTCTTTTCTTTCGTGTCTATTTGCTGTTTGACACAGGAGCCTGTGCTGTAACTGCTCATTTAATACCAGACAGCGTAATACCCTTGCAGCCTGCCATGATTGTCAGGTTGATTTCATTAGTATGATAAGATGCATAGACTCCTTTTTATCTCTTGTATTCTCCTTCTCTCTCTCCCTTTCTCTGTAATTTGGGTCTTTAAAGTCCCTGCTGTCTCCTGATCTACAGATAATTGTTTACTGTAATACTAGCCAGGAAAGGAGCTGATAAACTCCAGATGTAGCTAGGTCTTCAAATTCACTTTCCTTGCTCTATGCCCATGGCTATGGACCTCAGATAATATTTTGCCACTGTCTGGGGTCCTCTAGAGCTGCTAATAAAAAGAGGCTATTTAAGATGGACAATGATTGTATCATATATGATCTGGGTGGCTCATTAGGGTTTCTTTTCTGTTTGGGGGGTTGTTTAGTTTTTTGGTTTTTACAAGCTTCTTACTGGCCCCAGTTCTTGTTGCCTGCCTGTATCTGCCCTGCACTGTACTCTTTGAAGTCTTATCATGCTTCTTAGTGACAGGAGCCAGGATGCTACATGTTAACCCCCATAGAGCAAAGAGATGAGACTTCCCTCTTCAAAAAAGAAAAAAAGCCAAAAAAACCAATCAGTCTTTTCTGCCTTGCTGGAGCTTGTGGTTCCTTTGGTTCTTTACACAGTGACATTTAGAGAAGGCAGATTGTCAGGGGTTCATAAACAAGAATTAAGTTATTGCCTCCAGCTTCACCAGCTCATGAAACAAAACTTTTCACAGGTTTGATAGCAGTTCCCTAGTTTATTTTTTTTATTAGTGTTACTTAGTTTTACATACCTCTGAACTTCTCCCTTCCACCCACCACTGAAAGGCAACATGCTATCAAAGAGGCAGTTCTCATATCTCTAGCCTCATTCTAAGGACCAAAAATAGCCCCAAAGGCCCTGCCTACATTTCCACTGTGAACTGACTTTGTAACCAGTTCATGAAAAGGTTGACTATAAATATGTTTTGTGCCCACACATAAAGTGGTTACTATGGCTAGTAGTTGTGACATCCTCACCTGGCACATGGAGATCTTCCTCTAAACTGGTTTGGCCCATTATTTCTTTGCTGTGAATTCAAGACCACCTAACCATGCCTGTGTAACCGGTCTGTCTGGCTCCTCTGTGCTCCAGACCTGGGTGTGGTAGGATATCCTCCCTCGGATGCCTTCTCTCTCGTGCTGCTGCCGAGGCAAGCCAAGGTGGAACTTGTTCGAGCATTCTGGTATGTGTTCAGGGACTGTGGGATATCTGCCTGACCTGGGTGCAAGCCTTAGGCAATACCCCTGTGGACACACACCAGTGTGCAGCCCGAATGCTATACAAACACCACATGGTCTTCTGAAAACAGCTGCCACGGGGAGGCAGGCAGATGTGTGCTTGTGTCACAGGGGAGGATCGAGCGCTGGTTCAAAAAAGATCCCACCCAAACAAAAAAAACCCACGATCAGACTCATCCTTTAGTCAGAACTTGGGTTTTTTTGACCTGGAATTTTCATTTTAATTTTGAAAAATCAAAGCTGAATTTGGATCTGGACATTCCAATTCCTGGGAGAGAACCGAAAACCTGAGGTTGTATATAAATTTTATGAAGCTGTCTTAGTATAATTCATTAGCCATTTTACACACATCAAACCAAATTCCTCTCTGTATGACCTCCCCATAGCCTGAGGTTTTGGAAGGCTCTAATATCCAAGGCTAGATAAGGAGGCTGAGTGCCTTCCACAGGATGCCCCTCGCTCCTTTGCCCTAGGGCAAGGGAGATTGGCAGCCAGTTGCCCTCCCTCTGCAGTGCCATACCTGTGGAAAGGGCATCTTTCAGGAACATGGAGTGAGACTTCAACTGCAGATCTAATCTGGGAGGTACCGACTCTGTGCCTCCTTGCTCTTCAGGCCTTCCCATTTCATGTTCCCCGAAACTCCTCCTTACTGCAGGCAGCATTATCAGACTCCACATCCCGATTACATTCCCAGAATTCTTAGGCAAGTATTTTGTTTCCACTTGGTATTGCATGAGATGACTCTAAAAGTCCATTGCTTTCAATTTTGAAAGAGAGCTGTGGTTCATTAGCAGGGGAGGCAGAAGAAATGACAATCACAAAAGTGATCAGTCTACATTATCTCAACTAGGCTTTTACTTTCTCTGTGAAAGCGCATCTTTTCCCCTCTTTTTGGGACTGTTTCATTTCACTTCGGGCTTTCTCAAGGCACTGAGGTCTTGCTGGATTGGGTATCTGGGCATTTCCAATAGGTAATGAAGGACATAGCTTTTATTGCTGAAGAGAGGAGCTGATGGGCACCACCATCTCCTCGAAGGCCAGACTGGCTGCCACCCCAGATGTCAGCAGAGATTTGCAAGACCCACCATCTCTAGCCCAGTATCATTGAAAACCTTGGCTTAGCCATCAACTTAAATAGAAATGAATTGGTGTAACTCTTCCCTCATAATAATGCTGTTTCATTGCCTTGTAATCCACTTTTAATTAGGATTTGCTTCCTGGCAACAGCATGTAAACAAGGAGATGGTCAAAGGCGGCAGGGGGAGGGTGGGATTAACGCAGAAATGGGTCCCTCCTTGGTTCATCTTTCTCCTTCTAAAATTCCACAGTCTGGGCTGCTTCCACAATCATTTTGGAAAATGCCTTTCCTTTCCTCCCTCTTCCCCCAGATTTAAAAAGGGTCTGTTCTCCTCCCCACTTCATGTAAACATCACTTATCTTGTTCTATAGGCAGCATAACTAGCAAGAGCAAGTACTCACAAAGTGTAAATTAGCTAGTGACAATAAATTGTCAGATTGCCTCTGAGGCAGAAACAAATGAATAGCTTAGTTTATTAATCACATGGCACCTTCACCTTTGATGTCTTGATGTTCCAGTTTTGGTGCTCCATTAAGCAACCCTGAGTGACTGCTGCAGCAGCCTCCACTAAACCAGAAATTTTGTTGGCAGCACATTTCAGGACTTCAAAGGCGGTAAATTACCTTGAGATTGTTTCATTAAAGCGCCCTTCCCAGTGTGAACAGCAATAACAGGAGAATCGAGATCAAAGAGCATCCATCTTTCTAGATTTGTTACATAGAAAATTACATGCTGAGGGTGTCTTTTTCACAAATCATGTCGCCTCCCATTTCAGCAAGAATGGTTCTAATTAGAGCAGAAGCCTCCCTGGCTGTGCGGAGAGTTATGATTGTCATTAATACAGCACTGGAAGCTTTTTCCTCTTTGCACTCCCCAGACCCCTACCCAATTCTCTGCAAAGCTAGCAATGTTTGTGATGTGCCTCTGGAGCCTAATTAGAAACAATTATGCTGATTAACTGATTACAGGCAGTTCTCTACAGATTCTTGGGAAGAGCTTTTCCTGGGATGTATATTTGTTTATTTTAAATATTCTTTCATTTCCCTTCCCCCTCCACCCCCACGGCTGTCTAACTTCACATGATCCTTTGCTTGCTTTCTTCTGTCTACCCATGAGGGATGCAACCTAAGCAAACCGTGCTGGAGACAGACCAGAGAAAAGGGACTGCTGGAGGTCCTGCTGGTACATCTCCTGTTTGATGCGATGTATCGAGTGCAAGCCAGGCAGATCAAGGATCTATAGCCCTGATTCCTGTACAGTTTAGTTTCATTTTCAGGCACTCGACAGTTGGCTTCAGCCTTCAGGTCATGAGAATTTTCTGCAACAGACTAAATCCCAGCTATAAAGCATACAAAACCCAGAGACATCACCTGCCGACCTGTTCCTGTCTTGAATGGCTGGTACCTTCTCAGAACACCATTTGGAGAAGCATGTGGTGGAGCAGCCATGGGCAGGCAGGCACCGACCCCATGGTGTAACTGCCTCTTCCCATCTCACTCACTGTGCACAGGTATGGAGGGAGAGAGCTGGACGGGCATCACTGCAAAATCAGGGCAATTCTCATGAAGCCTGAATCACTGCTCCCCAAGAAATCCTTTTATCAGCAGGCTGCAGACCTTGTCCTCCCAACTTCCCTTCCTTGCAGCCACTCATTGCTGCCGTTCATGTGTCTTTTTGAACACAAAGGCACTGTTGTTGTCTAACATGGCATGAACTTCATGATTTTGTAGAAATAACAGCAGTCCATAGAAAGTCTAACTACTCCATAATCATGGAAATTCAGTCTGCATCAGAGGAAAGTAGGAGAAACCCAGCAGTAAACACAGTCACAGAGACATCTCCTTCCACAGAACGGTTCATCCACCTCCAGATGGTTAGAGGCTGACTTCTGCGTTCAGACACAGCATGTTTACATCTGTCCGCTCTCTGATTTCATTCACAGGTCTTACTCACTTAAATCTGATGTTCTTGCCACTTAGATAAACAACCATCACAACATAAGACTGAGGGCAAAAGCTTAAAAGGTGCCCAAACAAAGTCTCCTGGAAAAGGTCTCTCTTTTAATGGTGTTGCACTCATGTACTGTCTGAGTTTTTTTCTGGGAGAAAACTGTGAAGAGTACCGTGAAGAGTGGAGGCATCAGTTTGGTCGGACAGAATAGTGAGTGTTTTAGGAAACTTTCTGGCACATCTCTTACTAATCTTCTCTCTAACTAAGCAACTAAGAAACTTCGCAGTTTCTCTGAACGTGTTTCTTTTCCAGACTTTTAGGCCAGAACAATTCCAGAGGTGCCTGTAACTTTCAGTGTGTTCAGTAGCATTTTCTGTCCCGTTCTTTAGGCTTCCTAATAGGTTTTGCTTTATTTGCTGCTGCATAGCCCATTAGGCTTTTAGCACTGCTGTCATAAAATGACTTTTCCTCCTTAAGGTAATATCATCATTTTATATACTGTTATATATATGTGTGTTATAGCAGCATGAAATTGAGAAAAGTAAGAGACATGTAAGCACTAAATCTGTCTCCCCTACATTCTCCCAGACAAACATTCCTGTTGGCAAAGTCATACTGGAACATTCCCATTAGGGGTAAATGAAGAAAGTTTCCTTATCAAAGACCATGAAAGTATTCATGTGCCTAATGCTCATGTTAATTTGATATGAAAGATACAACTCTACTTGTACCTTTTGTGAATTTGACCTCTGATTTGCAAATCTCCAGCCCCAAGTAGATGTGAATGAAACATTCATAGCCAGAAGTGAAATTATTCAGATTATGGTTTTTTTTTCTTCATAATTCATTGTAAATTTGAAATAGGATCAGGAAATCATTTTAGTTCTGAAAAAAAAAAGGCAAATGCACCCATTTTCCTACAGATTATGGGTTGCTTGAAAATGAAAGATGGTATCGTAATGCAGAGCTTGAGAGATACAGACTTTTTACTCTTGTGTTTTATGAGACCTTTTTGTCAAACATCACACGGGAAGCAAAACATGAGGAGCATAGAACCGTGGGAAAAGCAGCAGTGAAGATTTTTGTGTGAAATCCAGTGGAATCTCTTTCACCAGCTCTGCAGCACTCTGAATCCAATCTGCTGGATCCTGTTCCACAGAGAAGAGACTGAGAAGAATAAGCAGCATGCAATGATTTGTTGGATTCTGGTGAAGACATACCACGGCTAATTTCATTGTAAAAGGAACATACAGAGCCATTGATCAAAATGTCTTTGTCATTGCTGGAATTACGCCAGAACTATCCTGGTATTTCAAGAAGGATTCGTGTTGCTTTTTCTGATGTGAGGTCAGAATAAATTAAGTAGGGTCTCTGACAGCTGATTTTCAATGATTATCTTTATGTTAGGATTGACCTGTTTATTCAACCCAGTCAATCTCTCATCAAAATGACAGCTCAAGAGCACCGTAGATTATTATCCCCAAGGATGCATAAAGATCCCATCACTTGAAACAATAAAAGCTGATTAGTACAAAATTAGAAAACAAGACTGAATGAGAAGAATGCAAAAAAAGATCAGAATTTCTATCTCTGCCACAGCTTAGAACAGAACATGTGTTGTATATGGCCTTTTTACTGGGATAGCTTGCAAATTTGTGACGTAGGAGAAGGATTAGTCCTTGCAATCAGATGGGTTTTACTCCATTGTAGGGCTCTGGATTATGCTCTGTTGTCATATCTGGCTAAAAGGATAGTGGCTCCATTGGAAGATAATGGAATTGCACCATCATAAAACAGATATATAAGCATAACATAAAAGACAGGATCAGAATTGATACCTGGGAGATGGTACTATGGAACAAGGCTGTGAGGCACCATATGAGCCGTATGGTGTGTAGGGTTGGAACAGCTGGCAACTTGCATACTGTGGTTGTAGAAGTATTTCAGTACAGATGTTGGTAGTAAAGTCTGAAGTGTACTTGTCTGAACAGCTCCTGTAGAGATTGATTTTTGTTTATCACTTTTCTAAGTGCAAAATTTACACGTGGAATTAAAAAAAAATATAGTAGTCTTTCTAATTGTGGTTGAACAGTCATACTGCTAATAAGTGCACGGTATAACTGTAAACAGATCACAAATCTGGAAACATATTCATTTATGTTACCTTTGTTCTCATTCCAGGAAATACAAGGATTTGGTAAGTTGACATTGATTTAATAGTCTGAAAACTGGAATCAATCTTTCTTTTCAGCCTTTTATTTTTCCTCCTGTTGCAAATTACAAACACATTTCTGCTTCCTGCAAGCTGTGCATATATTTCCATGGCCATCTTGAAGACCTCTCCCCCTCCTGCCCCCACTCTTGCCTAAGCAAGAAATGTCTTGTTAATTGAGGTTGCAATTCAATGTTTAGTGAAGGAAACGAGTACAATGCAGTTAAGGAAATTCAGCTTCGCTGCCTGTTCATTCTGCAGTGGCTGATTGTTGGTGTGATGATGATGATGATGATCAGATGTTGTTTGAGAGCTGAGATACAGTGATTGGTTTTGATAACCTGAAATTAACAACTGGATTTATAGCTTGTAAATATTGCTTGTGGTGAATTCTCGCATTGCTGGCGTAATCCCCTCTTCCTGTACAGACCTCATTT